CAGTTACCTCGGAAGTCAGATGTCAGAGCTGAGAATGACGCTACACGTGAGATGACGGCGTTCCAGTTAACAAGTCGGAAAACCAAGATGGACGCTGTTGTCACTTGTTAGTGGTTTTCAGCTGTTATTGTTAGCTGTTGTTAGCTATACCAGTTGTAAACAATGAAAAACACAGTATTTTACTCTTACAAACACCATGGCACCGTGTTCACAGTTAGACATTGGGCAGTACAACATCTATACCACAAAACAGAAGTGCTAATAAACGAGAGCTTTCACTGCTACTCTTTACTGTTGATGCACTGTGCTGCCATCTTGGATCATGACATTGTCGTCAAGTTGGGGTTGGGGAGGATTGTCCGACTTTCCGAGTTGGAAATCCGACTTTAGGGGGGCGTTCCAGATGAATTTCAGACTTGGAGCTTGGAAATTCCGACTTCTGAGTATAACTGGAATGCAGCACAATTCCCTTCGGTAAACATATGTAAGCAGTTGACATAACCTCTTAACGTAAAATGTTTATATCCTTTATTATGACATTATAGACTTAACAATGCTAATGTAGGGTATGTAGACATATTAATCTGTACTTGGTAAAGATGTTTTTTCACCAGTTTCATATTTTGACCTTCAAATTTTTCACAGGATTCACAGGATGTTCATGTTTTTTTTTCACTGTACAAAAGATAAAATAATAAAATATCAAATAACAGACTATGGTATTAACAATGTGACCACATAGAAGACCGCAGTTCCTTTCACTAGTTGCAGGTATTTTTTTTTTCTTTTGGTTAATAAGATTAAATCAGGAGACATTCACCTGCCTCCACAGATCCAGTATCTTTAAAAATGATAAAAAGAAAAGGTGCAGCGGGAACATTTATAGAAAAGACCTTTGTGACAGCAGCTTCTTCAGTCTGAATAGAAAACAGTCTCAGAGTTACAGTGCTGCGTCAGTCTCCATGGTTCATACTCAAAGGGAAAACAGATGAGCTTAGCACGGTTTTCACTTTTTATTTTCTCTTTTTAAGACTTTCTTTTATTCATCAACCACAGTGTCCTTTGGATGAGCTCTCCTCTGTACTGTACTGACTTCCCTTCAATCCCCACTCACACAGACGGGAAGAAATGGTGTCCATTTTTTAACACTGTGGATATGATGACAGTGTGTGTGTGTGTGTGTGTGTGTGTGTGTGTGTGTGGTCTGCTCAGATTAAAGCCTGTCAGAAAGCCTAAAGATCAGAGCCTTTGTGGAGCACAAATCTGATCCGTCACTGGAAAAGCCACACAGTTTTTTTTCATGGTGGAGATAGAGAGCTCTGCCACTCATCTCTTATTTTTCTTTCTAGGTTATTTGAGTCATGAAGGCTTTTAGAACAAAGGTACTTTTATTGAAGCATAAGTGCATTACTCACCTGAGCGTCTCTTTGCAGCTGTTCATCTTCATTTATCCAAAGCTTTGAGGGAAACCGAAAGGAAACCTTCCAGAAATAAAGGACAAAAAATAAAAGCACTATCACTGGCATTTAAAAGCCTAATCACAAAGAAAACTATGATGGTATTCTTGTCTTGCTCTAAACACTCATTAAGATGTCTCCTGAGCATTATGTACTTTTCAAAGTTTGATTTTAAAATGAAGAATTAGATGGGTCTTTGTCGAGATCTGATGCTTTGTATGCAGTCTGCAGTTGTCAGTCATTTGTACATAAAACCAAAAATTCCACTTCTCACTCGGAAATCTGTCAAAGTTTGTACTTACAAAACACACCACATCCTTTTACTCTGTGCAGCTTTGTGAACCCCCCTGTTGTTTTTGTATTCTCAGGTTATAACAGCAGCTTTCATACTGAAATGCACAGCAATACAGTCAATGCTTTAGTGTCATCCAGGGGACTTCTTTGTTTCTGATGTTTTTACTCTTTCGTCTTCCCTTTTACTTTCAACCAGAAAGCCAGTAAACCACATCTGTTCTTGGATTGACAGTGATAAATGTCCGTGAACCCGTTCACTGTGTAAAACTTCCTCAGATGAAAGAAAGCGCTGAAGAAAAGAATGTGATATAAGGATTTTCTGTTTGAATAACTCCAGTTTTTCACAGATAGTTTCGGCCGTTTGCTGTTCCATTGGCCATGTGTTGTTGCACAGCATGAAGCACAGAGTGTAGAGATCACATGTTTAGCGCCGCAGCAGCTGGAAGCTAAGATTAACCTGTAACAGCAGACTTCTACAGAACATTGTCTCACCCGGCTAATGAGCACGACACAGTAATGGAAGATAAATGATCACAGATGATTAATGTTTCCATGTGCCGGCTATGATTACAGTCTATCAGCTGTGGCTGCGTTCTCACTTGAAGGCAACTCCGTAAGGACCTTAGGCTAAATGATGGACCCCCATAACATCTGGAGCTGTGGGTTTACAGGCTTAAAGGCTCTGCTGTATCTGGCTCTAGGTCGTCTCCAGTTTTACTCCACCAGCTCTCTGAGGACAACTGATGGAGCACCAACTCATTAGCAGCCATGTGGATTTAGTCTCGTTAAGGGAAACTAATGGATAGATTTATCCCATTATAGAGGCACTCCATTAGATGCAAATACCGTAGAACAAAGGCACATGCTCCTGTAGGAACGCAGGCTCAACCACACACACACACACACACACACACACACACACACACACACACACACACTCACTCACTCACTCACTCACACATATGCATACGAACCTCACAACCTATTTGTATTCACATGTGCTGCCTCTAATCAAGGCAAAGTAATTACTTACACCAAAGGGCCCAGAAACAACTATGATGCTGTGCAACTAATGCCGATGTTGCAGGATCACATTTAAAGCTCCTTGGCGCATTAAAAACTTAAAACCAGTCAGTAAAACTTTGAAGCAATCACATCCAAAGGATGTGAAGTATGATTTTTAAGACTCCTTTCAAAGTGTGGTTAATCAAAGTCCCAACTCGAAATACACCCTTGACATCGGAGACACTTGAATAACTTAATAAAACTGCTTAAAGTCATGAAAGAAAAGCAACAAAAAATATCCTGCAGCTTATCAAAACTTTTTACTGAAATGCTTACCTCTAACACAGACTCACAAATACAACGTGGCCGCCAAGCTGCTTTATATCGTTGAAGATATGGGTCCACAAATATTCAGAGAAAAGGTTTTGTTTTGTTGATATGCTTAAAAGGGATATTCCGGCGTAAAATGAAGTTAGGGTGAAACACCGTAACACCGAGTTAGACACCTGGTCGAGGGAGGAATGTTGCCGACTGCTTGCTTCTCTAGTTAATCCAACTTTCATAACGATTGCAGATAGCAAAACACAAAGCCATGTGCGCAACCAAAACGCCACTCTATAGCCTCAAATAATGCTCAGAACAGCACCTAACTTCATCAACAGTACATATAGGGTCCCAGCCACAGTACTAGCCACCAAACATCTTTTTAGCTTAGCCGGATTCTTGTTTCACATAACTCACCATCTCTCTTTTAGCAGCCGCTTGTTTGTATGGAGACCTTCGGGCGAGTCCATCGATTGCAGTGGGGTTACGCAGCTCAAGGAACAACATTTATGATAATTTCCTCATGGAAATGCAATCAGACCGAGACGCTAAGGCAGAAGAGCTACTGCATCTGCAGTGCAAAATGATTAATATGATTATTATTACTTCAAGGAAATGATAAAGAAATTATCATAAATGTTCTTCCTTGAGCTGCATCCCCCCGCTGCAGTCGATGGACTCACCAGGGGGTCTCCGTATAAACATAGAGAGATAGAGAGAGGGCAAGTTATGTGAAACAAGAAATCAGACTAAGCTAAAAAGATGTTTGGTGGCTAGTGCTGTGGCTGGGACCCTTTATGTACTATTGATGAAGTTAGGTGCTGTTCTGAGCATTATTTGAGGCTATAGAGTGGAGTTTTGGTTGAGCGCAGGGCTCTCTGTATTGCTATCCTGCAGTTGGTATAACTCAAGCAACATTCATCCCTCGACTGGGTGTCTAACTCGGTGTTACAGTGTGTTTGACCCAAACTTCATTTTACGCCAGACTATCCCTTTAAAGCTATTGACCCGGAGTATGATCTACCCAGTGGCGAATATTTTGTTGAAGGTGCCTGACATGAGCAACATGACAGGATAGCAAGAGAGCTGCAGGGTATGTCATTTTATTTCATCATGTACAACAGACAATACAAAGCTTTTTGGTCAATTCGTTACTCTCCCTTTTTGTGGTTCACTTATGAAAAAATTATACTTGTCCTTTAGTTTAGTTTTATGACCTCAGTTTATGCTGTTATACATGAATACAGATGATTCTTTAGACATTTACCACTAAGAATAAATGTTAGCAAATCGACTTTAACACTGAGCTATTTGAAGAATGACTGATCTGGACGATAAAATCTGAAATTCATGAGGTACAAAAATGAACATTCAAAAGCATGAAAAGCAGCGGACTATAAGGCTTTATGCTGCTCCTTACTTCTGTTAAAACAATTAATACAGTAAATCGCTGTTTTCCCACCACTGCCTCTGTAACATATTGTTATTGACTTCTTTTTACAGATTCAGCCTTTTTATAAGAAGCACAGAGGCAGCATTAAAACATTTTGAAACACTCCTGCAGGTTTGTCTCACACATTTAAAATTCCAATTAATAAAAAATAATGACCAAAACAGTTCTGATTCAAAACTAATGAGTAAACTCCATAATAAACCATAAATTTAAGGGCAAAAAGGGCACTCTAAGAGGCAATGCTGTAGCAACCATCGTACGAAGAGGTGAAAGAAATCAGATTAATTGCTCAGTCTTACCAAATTAACTTCACTGAACGAATATTATAGGCTCGATTTGAGAGGCAGAAGTGGTTCAGTAACATAATGATCTGTATATTTATCCTTTGGCAAATTTCTGAGTTCTTGTACGAGGTCATGAAGTGCGTGTTATCTGGATAAAGACATAAAAAAAAACATCCTGAAACATTTGCAACTTTGTTAGTGACCTTTATTGTTTTTGCACACTCCAAACATTTCTAATAAAATAAGACATCATATGTTTTGCAACAGAATACAGTACAGAGTAAATCATGACTGCATTTTAATGGCCACAACAAAAATGTTTTAACATTTTTCTCTAAGTGAAAGTAAAATCACAGCTTTTAAACATTTTCTAAATCCCCTTTTAAAAATCTTCAAATATAACTTGTTTTTTCATGATTAGCAAAAATGAAAGTTGATTGTTAAAAACTAGGAGTACATACAGTACATGATTTCAAGCCAAAAGCTCAACAGATGTCTCTCAGCGGTAGTTTCTTTATGACACATCTGTACTGAAAATATTCTTTTCATATCAGGGACAAATAAATCAAAATCACCCAAAAAGAAGAGTAAAACAAAACTGGGACAGATTCACCCTCTGACCCTATGTCCTAACTGTTAATGAATGTCACACTGACCTAAATATGTGCACAAATGTCAAAAGCAAAAGGGTAAGAATAAGGATTTGATCTTCTCTTAAAATAAACTACTCAATTCTTTAATAATCAAACATATTTTCTGTGTTTGAACAAGGAAAAGCCGGCACCTCACAGGTTTGGGTAATTTTAATTAGAGCACATTTCGTCTCAGACACGCTCCGGGACTGTGACTGATCCTTTCAATAACAACTTCTTTAACTGAACAGCAGGCGCAATTAAATTTTGTAGAAAGTAATTCTGACATTAATTTATGTGGAAAGTAATTCTAATTTATATTCAAGTTAAAAGAACTAAGAAAAATGAGCCCCTCAGTTTGCTGAATCATTTCTGTCTGCTACGGAGTCATCATACAAGAGTGCTGATTACATTTTTATGACAGATTGTGAAGTCGGATCATTTTGAAATATTGTCTTTTGAGGTTTAACCCATGTTATTTTAAAAGTACAGATGTTTTTCTAATATAAAGATAATTATTTCAAGCTGCTGTATCAGCAACACCATCCATCACGTCAGAATAAGAAGCATTTAGCCGCAAAAATAAGGCCTTTTAAAACAGAAATATTTTCAGATATCTGAGTGTTAAAAAGTGGTTTGTTGTTCCAAAAAGGAAAAGAAAACACTCTGATCCACGTCCAAAACTTCTGCCTTCAACTGAAAAAGTGATACGATGAAATGAGGTTAAAACAGGATGAGTGAAACGTCAACAGGAAATTCTCAGAGCTTACCACAACCCATTGTCTGACTACACAGGTGAGATTTAAATAACCTGTTAAACATCGTAAAACCACACCCCTCAGTGACGATCCTCAGAAGTGGCACACCTATTAGAAAACATACTTTCAACAAATATATTTTGGCTCCTGCACCGTCTTCAGTGTTGATATCTTGGCATGAGGAAGAGCAGATTTCAAATATCAAAATTAATCCCCACCACAAAAATGGTGAACATCTTCATGACTACAAGGTTACGTCTGCAGATCTGAAGCTCTGACCATTGACTCTGTGTTACCACGCCAACAATGATGGATGAGATGACGCTCAAATATTCTTCTTCTCACTATGCGTCCCTCTAAAGCAACAAACCGAACCCCTCATCTGCTCTAATGGAGAGGAGTGATGGTCAGTGGGGCTAAATTTCTGCCGCTGTCATTAGCACAGGGGCTGAAGAATGGAAAGAGCCTCTCAGTGAAGGTGCATCCAGTGAAGGAGAAGATATGAGCCCTGGCATCAACGTCGTAGAAGGAAACTTGACCCTCTGCATAATCAACAAAGACACCGACCTTTTGAGGAACCTCTTTCACGTGGAGGTTGATGGCAGGGCCGGCATTGGCTGTGATCTCGTTCCCTTTTCTCAGCCAGATGGTCCAGTATCCACTCTTGGGACTCAGTCTGAGATCACCCTTCCTGTTGATGGACTCATTTGCCACACCCAGATCCCACTGAGTTTTCCCTTGGACCCGTACTTCAAAGTAGAACTTCCCAGAGTTGAAACTCTCTTTGGCGAGGACATTGGGGACATTGTCGAACCTCTCCAGTCTGTCTGGGACGTTCCTCTTCCTGTCTCCACATTTGACTTCTTTCCCGTCCTCAGAAATGATGAGGGAAGGATTTGCTGTGTCAGGATCCAGAGTCAGATCCACAGCATGACGCTGCATTTTCTTCAAGTCCGGGTCACACAGCAGCCTGATCTCTCTTGTCACAGTCGTCTCAAGTTTGATCAGGGTTTCCTGCACAGAAAACTGGTCGTTGTTCAGAGTCACCTCAGACCAGTCCTTCACCTGTGGAGGAGTGATGGTGAGGGACAGGACTCTCTCTAGGAACAGAAAGGGATCGTCGATGCTACAGACCTCATCAAGTATTGGGGTTTTTCCTTTTATTTGCACCATCTCTTCCTCCAGTTCTTGAATGAAGCCTTCACCCTCTTTCTCCATCTTTCTCAGTTTTGTTTGAATGACTTCTCTCAGCTCAGCTTGGCTTCTCTTTATTAATTCCACCAGCTCACTCATCACTTTCTGGCTCGATGTGAGCGCCTTCCCTGCATTGTTTCTTCCATCTTCCATTGAGAGTTGGATCTCTTGAAGTTTCTTCTGGTGGGTCTGGACCATCTGATTTATTCCGTTCTTTTCTAGTCCCAGCAGGGCCTTCCTCCTGTTGGCCTCCTCCTCCACAGTTGCCGTCTTGTGTTTTCTGTGGTCACTGTCCACACAGGCCTGGCATAGAAACACCATATCCACCCTGCAGAACAGCTCCAGAGGCTCACCATGCTGCTTGCACAGCCTGCTCTCCAGGTCTTTGACTGGATGAATCAGCTTGTGTTTCTTTAAGATTGGAACCGTCCGGTGACGCTCCAGATGTGCATCGCAGAACGACATGAAACACGTTAAACAGGACTTGACGGCTAACTGCTTCCTCTCTGCACACATATCACACAGCACATGTCCACTTCCTGCTTGTTCAGGAGTGTCGGGATGTTTTTCTTCAACAGTCTTCTTCACCTTCTCAGCCGCACTGGAGAGGACCGTGTTCACACAGAGTTCTGGTATCTTTACGTACTCCTTTTTGCACAGTGGACAGTCAAATAAAGGTTTTTTCTCTTCCCAGTGGCCTGTGATACAGGTACGACAGAAGGTGTGACCACAGGGGATGGCTACGGGTGCATTGAAGACATCCAGACAGATCGCACAAGAGAAATTGTCCACCCATACCAGACTACTTGAACAGGCCATGTCTGGAAAACACCAAAAAGACACGAAACAAAGTCTGTCAACACTTGTGACTGTCTTTGTTTAAACAACATAAAACTGTCATTAAAAACAAGACATCACATTTATTCAGTTCAAACTTCACCTTACCTGTTGTTAGGAAGTTTTATAAAAGCTTTCAGGTCGGCAAAAGAAAGTTTAAGCATGTGTTTCTCTCTCTCTCCTTTTAGTTTCACTTTCTTTCAGCTGTTGCTGAGTGCCAGTCCCCTCCCACTTCCTCATCTGACTGAAACAAGTTAACCCTTTACAAGCTCAGTGCACCGGTGCCTGTTTCCCTCAGTTAGAGATATGAAATGTGTACCCAGTCCTCACTTCAGAGGCGTGTAAACAGCCATATGAGCCGTGCTTTCTCTCAGGTGTGCATAATTCATGCGACTCTGTGCGCTGAGTTTCTTCACAACATCCAGAAATCTCTGTCTGAAATCTGTGAGACGTCACAACATGTTAAATTCTAAATGAGTTGGAGAGTCTTTAGTGATGATATCTGAATAATAAACTACAAACACACTCCTCCTCTGTGGAAACAGGGCTATGAACACAATCACTCCCCTGCATCCTTGAAAGGTTTTATCAGAGCTGGAATAATGTGTGTGTGTAGGTTGTGTGCAGGTTTCTATGCATCAGCATCAGCGTTCATATGTGACTAATTGTATATCCATGGCTGCATGGAGGATTATATACAGACTGTGGGTGTGTAAGCGTATTCAATTTGGCTGTTGGACGACAGTATGAAATGAATTGTGAGTGATACATTCTACTTAACCTTTCAGTGACTGGAATTAATTAGCTTTCATGCCGTTTAAAATGTCACTTAAACCTGATATATGTATTTAAATATCTATAAACGTGGGTGTGTGCTGTATGTATCATATCTCAGTACTTTTGTTCTTTAACACTGAAGTGTTTGCTGAAGTCTTTACTGTATAAATGTGGAAAGCTTGAGCAGTCTTCAAAGTCATTTATGTACTCAGGATATAAAGATGTAAAAGAAATTAACCTTTAAAAGTCCAGTCACATAAGACTTGGATGTATATTAACTTAGTATTTTCAGTTATAAATGCTCTTTAAAGTCCATTTACTTTGAAGGAAAAGCTCCTATGTGACATTCTCATCTGAAAATGATCACAGTCTGGATCCACGTCTCATCCAGGCCGCACCTCAATGTCTCGGCTAGTATTAAACATTCAAATGACATTTGGATCAGGTGGGGATCCCCTTTGATCCAGGTCTGTGTAGAGCTGAAGGACCTGAACCTTTCTTCTCCTCTGCAGGATCCACCGATAGGTTCATCAGAGGATGAGAGAGAGTTTGGCCTTTTTCTCCCCCTCTCTCTCTTTTCATTAAAAATTCTGACTCCTTCTGTCTTTCAAACGCTGCATCTCCCCCATCCCCGGTCTCTGACCCACTGGGCTCTCTCCTGTCTCTGCTCCTCTCTCCTCTCACCTTGAATACATGAATAAGAGATTAGAGGAGCTCAAAGTGTTAGAGGACACAGATCTCCCTCTATTAGAATTGAATGCCTCCTGTGAGGTGTCTGCTCAGTTTTAAATGGAGAACAAGTCTGAAGTTAAGCCTGCCCTCCCCTAAAGCTCACAAGTTCAAACCATACAGTATTAAACTGGACTGATGAATTTATATAATACAGTTTAACATAAACAACAGCATTGTTATAACCTTAACTGGAATCATTTCTCACATGGCCAAAAGTATGTGGACTCCCTGAATATTTAGAGAAAAGAGATTCAAACACACTGAAAGCATTTCTTAAAATAAATGAAATACAAAAATATGGAGTTAATTAACTCTGTAAAGGTCCTTACACACCAGGAGCGAATTCGCGAGACGAATAATTTGCTTTTTTTTTTTTTTTTTAAAGCTATTGAAGTTGTTTTTGAAAATAAGAAATAATTAACTGTAAAAAGGCATGTTGGCCTGCAGCTCTTGTTTATTTTTATTATGTGTTTAGTTGATTACAATATTATGAAAGAGGGGCCGACTCTAGAATGGTTTTCTTCTTTCTGCTCCTTTTTTTTCACGTTTGAGATTTTTCCTTGTTTGTATTGAATGTTTTGAATATTAACTGAATGAAATATAGAATGAAAATGAAAAAGAATGAAATGAAGTCAATGTGACCTTACACACCGGTGGCGAACATTTGCGAAGCGAAAAAGCGATTGTTATTTATTCGCTCTTGTGTCGAACTTTGGGGAGGCGAAACGGCGAACGGACAGACTTCTGACCAATCAAATGATGTTGGTATGTCGGTGACGTCACATCCAAACTTTACCGGCAGCATCAGCTCTAGTCTGCATTCATTCATCATGACTGAGCGCTTTGTCGCCCTGATTTATGGGACAAGTCCCTTAAAATGTTCCACGACACTCTCCTCAAACAAAATGTATGGCAGGAAACAGAAGAAGACCATATATAGCTAAGCTAGCTAACTAACCAGCTAAGGGCACTGAAAGACATAGTGCCAAACTTAATTCGCTTAGTGGATTTTATTTGCATAATCGCATCACAACCGGTGTGAACGGAACAATTCGCCAGTGAAACATTCGCATTTTGGCGTCACTTATTCGCATCGCTTCACCTATTGCCTGGTGTGGTAGGACCTTGAAACAATGTGGCATAATAGGTGTCATTTTGTTCTTGTTGGGTTATAAATTAAAATGCATGTAATTTTAAATGGCAACACGCAAGGCTGTGAGATTTAGATGTTAAGAAATAAAAAAATTCATAGTAACCTCCCTCAGAGCTCTGCTTTATATTGATACAGCATGAAGGTACAAACCAAAATGGCACCATCTTAAGGTCCTTCAGCTCATCATAAGACAGAAGCTTTGTCCCAATCCAGGGTCTGTAACCTTTAGAGGACTATTAGCTTGCAAAGGCATTATGGGATATGTGTGGGTATCCTTGAAGGATGAACTTGATGCGGCCCTCACAGTCTGGAACTGGGACAGCCTTTGACTGCGGCCACATCTGACGTATTTGGTCTTCAAATTCAGCCTTGAAAGACTGCAGACCCTGAACTAGAGAAACACTCACTCATAAGAGGGTCTTCAGTCGGCTGAAACAGAGCCTACCTTGGTTAAAAGGATGATAGTAACACCTCAAAGTGGTCCTGGGTTTAACACCAATAAATTAATAAACGAAAGAAAGAAAATACAAATGGCTTCGTATAAGACGAGTGACCAAATTTATTTATTTTTGAATTTTTGTTTATTATTGATTTCACATATCAATATTTCATCACCATTTTACAGATATTGAATAGATTTCCAACTGGATATAATATTTCTCCACCGCGGAGCAGAGACATAGTTAGACACCAACTTCTTAAGTAAAGTTACAGTAGAATAACTGTGTAGTAAAATTAAACTTTTCACTCATGTCCTTAATTTCACACCTCTCTTGCATTGACTCTTTTCTCCTGTTGGAGGGTAAACATTATAAACATATACACAATTAACAAGTTTGTAGCCTGAACCAAGGGTATCAATAATCTCAGATACACAATGCCTTTACTGCGCAAAGTCTGCTCTCCACTGAGACACAAACTCAACCCTGTTTTCCAATAGTTTTTGAAAGTACCTGTTTTTAGTATCGATGAGAAAGTCAGCTTCTCGATCATTACCTCTACCCAATCCTCTATTTTTGGTGCATCTGTTTTTAGCCAATTAAGTGACCAAATTGAATGTGTTTAACCTGAAGAATTGACTTGTAGTTTTGCACAATTGGAAAAGCTGTGAACAAGCAACATGCATTAGTGTGAATTTTTCCTTCACTAATTCAGCTTTAAAAAATAAAAAAACACACTTATTTTGTTTCACGATCACAATCCTTTGAAATAAACTCAACCCTAGAAAGACAACAGCAGCTGTCAGAGAGCCTGTGTGTTTGTCAGCCCTGCTCTACAGTGAGGAGGAGGAGGACGCTCACCTCACTCACCTCTATCAGTCTGGTTTGTTTACGACCTGGTCATAGTGGAGGGTTGTGTGATTTTCAGCCCCTGGGTACAACCTGGAGAGAGGATAAAAAAATTAGTCCTGAGATGAGATCCCCTCTTCATTCATCAGCAAGGAGGAGGCGGCTGCCAAATGAGAGTCCTCTCCCTGCCGGGTTTTCACTCCCCAGACACTCAGCTTTTCAGTCTTTTATTGGACCACTTTGAAACACTCAAACACTCACAAGGATGACTCCATCTTTGTCGAGGTGTGCAAGATTAAAAGCTTCTTTCTTTGCCTAAAGCATCAGAAAGAGGAGCTCAGACTCTTCTCGTCCTTTCATCAGAATTCACCGGCAAAGTAGAAACACTAAGTCTGAGTTATAAATCAGATCAGATTCAGCAAGTTTGAGGCAATTTGGGGTGTTAAAAATTTTATCTGTGAGAAAAAATCAATTTCAAAGGTTTTCTAATTTTTCCTCTTTATTTGTCAGCTTATGGAAGATTTTCAGGCTCTGTGAAGTCTTATGTGGAGGAAACAGAGCCATCAAAAAGTTACTTTTTTTAGGCATAATTTAGTGCAAATTTTCAAGTATAACAATTATAATTGTAAATTGCATTATTTTGCATTTAGACAACTTTTTAATATCGACACTGTGTAGAGCAATTTTAAGTGTCTTCCTCTTGGAATTAAACAAATGCGATGAATTGTAGTAAATGATCGTGACTTTCAGACTTGCTCTTGATAGAGACGCACCGATCCATTTTTCTCCGATTCAATCTGATACCGATATCTGGGCTGAGAGTATCGGCCGATATCCGATATCGATCCAATACTACTGTTGGATGATTAAACTGTATACCTTGCCCTGTGAGTGAAGACATCAGGCTTGATGTTAGCCTTGTTAAAAAAAAGGTAACAAATTAACACAGATATAAATTTACTTAATACTGTTTATTAAGAAATAACAAATTGCACATTAGCACACAGCAAAAAGAAGTTATTCTCCCATGTATTAAAATAAAAATTAATTACAAGGAAAAAAAAGACTGGATCGGAACGCTGTATCGGCGTCATTCATCAGATATCCGATCCACTTGATTTGTCAATATTGGAGCCAATATCCGATCCAAATATCGGATCGGTCCATCCCTAATTCTTGATATAAATGGTCAAGTGTTGCACCGGTGTGGTCAGAAACTCAGACTAAGAGGTAGGAAACAGCTTTAAAGTTCATCTCCATGGAAACACATTGTTGATTA